ACCTCCGGGACCAGCACCACTCCCAGCTCCAGTGACGACAGCAGAAATACCTCCAGCGGCAGAGCCTCGAGCTCCAGAATCGCGACCCTGACGGCGACCGTACCAGTCGTGCAGCTGCTGTGAGGTGAGAGGCACACGCGGACGAAGGCGGCTACTCCAGGGAGACCGCACAACAGCAGAATCAGAACCCTCAGCGGCAGCACTCGCAGCAGCTCCAGAACCTCGAGCGCCAGCACTAGCAGCAGCTCCAGAACCTCCAGCGCCAGCACCCGCAGCAGCTCCAGAACCTCCAGCGCCAGTACCCGCAGCAGCTCAAGAACCTCCAGCGCCAGTACCCTTAGCAGCTCCAGAACCTCCAGCTCCATCTCCCTCAGCAGCTCCAGACTCCGCACCCCTAGGCTCAGTACCCCCAGAAGTAGCACACCGAGCAGGACCACCCTTAGCAGAACCAGAGTCACCAGTGACCTCAACCGGCGCAGTCAAGGGAGGAGGGTCTACGTGAGACACACCTGAAGGAGCAGGAACGGGAGTGGGGAGGGGGTCTACCTAGGGAGCACCTGGAGCGAGGAAGAGCGGCGGGGGGGGGGAGAGGGGCAGTGCGGTAGGGGAAGAGACGGTAAAAGGGAACCGAGTCGTCGAACGTGACGTCCTGAGAGGGGAAGACACCGCGCGAGGTGGGGTGGTAAAACTGCCAACCAGGCGCGTCAGGTACAAAGGAAGACACAGGGAATAGCGCGGGCGGATAGCTTGTCCGCGGTGGTATCGCGGACAAAGGCACGAGCACCCCAGACCCGGAAACGCGACACATCGCCAACCTTCCCCGTCCACAACAGTGTGGGCGAGGTCTCCGGCAAGGAGACACGGGGCCAGATGTTGAGCTGATGCGCGGCGTACCGGACCGCAAACGACCACTGAAAATGGGGGGCAGCCGCATGGATCATGGAGGTACGAGCGACCTCCATGTCTAAGCCAATGCGGCGCTCAGCAACCCCATTCTGCTGCGGAGAGGCCGGAAGCGTGAACGACTGGGTGATGCCGTGCTCCTCACAGAAGGCTGCCAAGAGGTCGGAATAAAACTCACCACCTTTGTCAGAGTGCAGACGTAGGACGGGAAACTCCGTCCCGAACCGCTTGCGGAGCTGGAGACGAGCAGCGCGGATCCAAGGGATCAAAACATCAGGGACCTCACCCTTGGTGTGTAAGGGGAAGACCGTGGTGTAACGCGTGTAGTCGTCGACGACCAGCAGGAAGTACCGCTCGTGGCCCTGTCCACGGACGCGGGCTGGGCCCCACACGTCCAGGTGGAGAGTCTGCAGGGGAGCCTCTGTGGGAGGGAACGAGGAGGAGTGAGGACTGGCGCGCTGCCGCCCCTCGACACAGGGAAGACAGGGAGGAGCAGGTGAGGGTGGGAGGGGAGGGAGAACCCTGGGAAGACCAGAGACAAGGACCCGGCGGTGCATGCTCCGAAGGCGCTGCACCGAGGGGTGACCAAGGCAGTGGTGCCAAAGAACCGTCTGGTGCGACAAGGGGCGAGACGAGCAGGGGGACGACAACTGACCTGACGCAGACGCAGACGCAGCTACCCGAGGGGACTCAGTGGTCAGTGTGTACAGGCCGGACCCAGGCTGCCGAGTGAAAGTAGCCAGGTGACGACCCGTCTGAGCACACGTGCAGTGTGTCACACGCTCGTAGGCAGGGGTGAACTGGTGAACACCCGCGTCCTGGAGCGCAGAACCCGCCACCAAGTTCGTAGAGAACGAGGGGAGGTAAAGACCCGACAGTGTGCCAGACGGGACAGCAGGACAAGGGAGGACAGTGGAGGAGGTCGCACGGACTGGACCCCTAGAGGGGTCTGCCTGGGAGACTGGAACCGGCCGACTGAGCGGCGTGAGGGTGGTGCTGTCGCGAAAGAAGGAGCGAGAAGCACCAGAGTCAAGTGTGAAGGTGTATAAGGCCTCAGCAGGCGCAGTACCAGAGAGAGCAGACTCACCAGCACCTGGAGCGGCAGGCTCTATACCTGGGTCAGGCGGTACGCACAGGCAACAGGCACGGTCAGCACTAGTAGGCAATGCATACATGACAGTGAGAATAGCATCATAGTCAAGAGCAAATATATCTACCCTCTACCCAAGCAGCTCCACCCAGTCGGGGAGTTTAGCCTCGTCGCCAAACTCGGTACGCCATGCGTCACTCAGACGGGCGAAGCAGCGGGACTCTGTGTGACCAAGCGTCCCGCAAGCCTCACCAGTCCGATCACCTGTGCGAATGACGTACGGGCAGCGAACGGTACTAAAAGACCCTCTACTCTCAGCGTACCACTCGTGAAGTTGCCGAGGCGTAAGTGTCTCGCGTGGACGCCGCTGCAGCTGCAGCTGGCCACTGCCAGACGCTCCCAACTGACCAGCTCTAGGGCGACAGCTACGACGGCTACCGCGACAACCCCAACTAGCGTACCACTCACTAAGCTGCTGGGGCGTGAGAGACTCGCGCGGCCGTCGCTGGAGCTGCATCTGGCCACCGCCAATAGTAGCAGTAGCAGTAGTAGCAGCAGTAGCAGCAGTAACAGCAGTAGCAGCAGTAGCAGTGCGGCCACCCCTACAACCCCAACTAGCGTACCACTCACTAAGTTGCTGGGGCGTGAGGGACTCACACGGATGTCGCTGGAGCTGCATCTGGCCACCGCCAGTAGCAGCAGTAGCAGTAGTAGCAGCAGTAGCAGCAGTAACAGCAGTAGTAGCAGCAGCAGCGCGTGCAGGGCAGGCACGGCAGGCAGGCAGGCAGGCAGGCCGGCAGGCAGGCAGGCAGGCAGGCAGGCAGGGAGGCAGATGGCGCGGTAGCGCGCAAACAAGGCAGGTGCTCACCAGTGGCGGGAAGAGAAGGCGCTCGCTGGGCGAGCAGGGCCGGCGCTTGGCGGGCGGCTGCACGGGGTCCAGGGGCGGTGTCGCGGGTCCAGGGGCGGCTGCACGGAGTCCAGGGGGCGGCTGCTGCAGGGGCCAGGGGCGGCTGCTCTGGGTCCAGGGGCAGCTGTTTGAGGGTCCAGGGGCGGCTGCACCAGGGGCGGCTGCTTCAGGGGCCAGGGGCGGCTGCTCGGGGTCCAGGGGCGGCTGCTCCAGGGGCGGCTGCTGCAGGGGCCAGGGGCGGCTGCTCTGGGTCCAGGGGCGGCGCTCGAGGGTCAAGGGGCGGCTGCTCTGGGTCCAGGGGCGGCTGTACGGAGTCCCGGGGCGGCTGCACCAGGGGCAGCTGCTTCAGGGGCCAGGGGCGGCTGCTCTGGGTCCAGGGGCGGCTGCACCAGGGGCGGCTGCTTCAAGGGCTAGGGGCGGCTGCTCTGGGTCCAGGGGCGGCTGCTCTAGGGGCGGCTGCTTCAGGGGCCAGGGGCGGCTGCTCTGGGTCCAGGGGCGGCTGCTTCAGGGGCCAGGGGCGGCTGCTCGGGGTCCAGGGGCGGCTGCTCCAGGGGCGGCTGCTGCAGGGGCCGTGGGCGGCTGCTCTGGGTCCCGGGGCAGCGCTCGAGGGTCCAGGGGCGGCTGTACCAGGGGCGGCTGCTTCAGGGGCCAGGGGCGGCTGCTCTGGGTCCAGGGGCGGCTGCTCCAGGGGCGGCGTAGCTGGTGTAGGGCAGCGCGCGGGTCCCACAGGCGCCGTGACGGGCGACGGGGGGCAGCGCGCCGTCACCGGAGGAGGCGACGCGCGGGGCCGGCGGCAGGCTAAAACGGGGCCGAAAAACGGGCTACGTGGGCGGCGGACGCGGCGCGCAGGGCCTAAGCGGGCTGCGCGTGGGCGGCTCACGCGACGCGCGGGCCGGCGGCAGGCTGCGTAGGCGGCTGACGTGGCGCGCGGGGCCGAAAACAAGCCTAAACGGGCTGCGCGCGGGCTGCTTACGAGGCGCGCGCGGGAAAAAAAAAGGGCCGCGCGCGTGCAGCCGAGGCGCGCGCGGGCAGTAGGCAAGGTAGGTAAAAAGTAAACGGTGGGCCCTAATCCTAGGTCCTAAGGACCTATGCTCTGATACCATGTTAGAGTCTTAGGCAAGGGTGAAGTTTGACTATCGAGAGAGTTGGTACAAAGGAGAAACCTAAGGGGTTGTATCCCACAATGAGTACCCCACTAAGCATACCCAAACTATAAACATAGATATATGTTTGACAGTTCCACGTGGTTTGCATGATTTGAGAGCCCGAACTCTGCCTGGTACGCTTATTATAGGTGCACACAGAGACCAGACTGCCCAACGCATCACTTTGATTGGTCCACTGCATTGAATGCCCCAATTTTCTTGCTAATGCACTAGAATGCACTATTTTCCACATCCACAACAAGTTTTTTCCATTTCGTTCCACGTGGTTTGCATGATTTGAGCACCCGAACTCGGCCTGGTACGCTCATTACAGGTGCACACACAGACCTTACTACAAGCTTCAGCCATCATATTCCATCTTTTCTCCTAAGTGAATGATTTCCCCAATTTTGGCGTGTATGAAATGTTTTCGTAAAAAGGGCAAATAAAGGCCTGAGAATTAGCACACCATTCTAGCAGAAGTTGCCACCTGATCGCACTACATAAAAACTGAAGTAAAAAGAAATTTGCTGGTGTTCAATTACCGTAGGTAGAAATTTGTCACAATCATCACTGTGTGTGGTGTGGCCACAACACAAAGCGACAATCACCACTTCACACACAGGAAAAAATCGTACCTAGGGCACCAGTGTGCGATTTCTTTTATGTGGAACAGCAAGATGCATGCTTCCACGTTAGCTTGTTCTCTGACACCGTACTCATATTCCAGCCTAAACTGCTGGGTCAAAACCTCATGCTGTCAGGTGAGTGACCGCATGCGCTGCTCACGTTAGCTTGTCTTCAAAGCAAACACACAGGCCCCTCTTGTCAGTACCCCTTATTGTCCTCTCCCCTCTCGTCAGTAAACCTCCACAGGTGCTCTCCAAGAAGCATTACCTCCTCCCCTCCTCCCCTTCCTCTTCCTCCTTGCTCCAAACGGCATGCCCTTCAGGAATCAAGAGGGAATGCAGAGCGGCATGCCTTTGAAAAGCGACTGCTGGCGGCACATCCACCCGCGGTTGAGCAGCGGCACGAGCGGCGGCTGGCGCTGGAATTGCACCACCACCAGCGACGCACAGCTGTCGCCCGCGTTCACCGTGTACCGCCGGTTCTTCACTCCCTGCACCGGCTTCCCACACACCACTGCGCCCACGGGGTGCCCTGCCACACAGATCTGATGCCAGGGTTGGAAGGACGTGGGGAGAGGGAGAGTGGGCAAGAGGGAAAACAGGGGAGTGAGGTTGAGAAAGATCTCATATGCATCGGGGGAAACTGCACAAATGGGTTGCATTTCCTCCCTATCCCGTCTCTCTGCCCTCCTAACTCCCTCTTCCTCTCCTTCCCTCTCTACTCTCACCCTCCCCTCTTCCCCCCCCTCTCACTCAGCAGGCCCGGGTCGAGGCGGCTTTTGAGGCGCCTCAACTGTCCTCCCAACCATCTCCCCCTCCACACACACCTCTTGGTCTATAAGCCCGTTGAGGTTATCGCAAAGCAGGCCCGGGTTGAGGCGGAACAGAGACAGCCACGAGAGGCCATTGCTGTCGATGAGGCTCTCACACGTGTCCCCCACGTCCACGCGCTGGTACTTGGTGCACATGCGGTGCTCCTCCATGCCTGCCATGCTCTTCCCCCGCTCCACACACACCTGCAAGGAGAGAGGATTAGACAATGCTCAATCAGACACAGCATACATACACACTACTGCCGTGTTCTCCCCTCTCCCCCCCGGCTCTGTCCCCCACGTCCATGCGCTGGTACTTGGTGCACATGCGGTGCTCCTCCATGCCCGCCATGCTCTTCCCCCGCTCCACACACACCAGCTGGGAGACGGGAGGGGATGGGGTTGAGGACGGGGGGGGGGGGGGGGGGGAAGGGTTGGTTTGGTGGCGGTACCTTTTGAGTCGACTCAAAAGGCACATGAGGCGCCTCAAACTAGAATTCTGCAGTGAGTCGAGCTGTGGTGAATCTGTGGTGTGTGCAGGAAGAGGACAAAGCAGAGCTTCAGACTCAAAACACCAAATCATGGACTTTAAAGAAGAACACGAGGTAGAAGAAGAAGATGAAAATTTAACAATCTGAACAATGGCTCTGAAACCCCCTAATGCCTGTTACCTGGTGGCCAGGCACAAGGTGTGAGCAGTCGATGCCTGGGTTAAGTGAAATCACGTCCACGCCAAAGCGGTCCTCTATGGCTGAACAGTCCGATGCTAGGCTGTCCACCTGAGGGGGTGCATGGCACGAGGAGACGAGGGGGAGACCTTTGAGACGCTGCACAGCCGGGCTCTTGGCTGGAAGGCGGGTGGGAAAGTGAGATTGAGGAAGGACTGGGAGAGAGGAGAGGGGTGAGGAGGGATGTGGTTGCTGGGACGAGTGTGGAAAGCTGGGTGATTTGAGAGAAAGGGAGAGGAGGAGAATGGGGAGGGAGGAGATGGGAGGAGGAGCGAGGCGAATGGGGAGAAGGAGGTGTGGTGCAGTGCGGTGTGGAGAGAGAAGGGCCCATGTGAAGGCTACTGGTGACATGGCCGAGTAGCAGTGAAATGGGGGAGGAGCATTGATGAGACAGGGTGCGTACCAGTGAGATGGGGTGGGTACCAGGGAGATGGGGTGGGTACCAGGGAGATGGGGTGGGTACCAGGGAGATGGGGTGGGTACCAGGGAGATGGGGTGGGTACCAGGGAGACGGGATGGGTACCAGGGAGACGGGATGGGTACCAGGGAGATGGGGTGGGTACCAGGGAGATGGGATGGGTACCAGGGAGATGGGGTGGGTACCAGGGAGACGGGATGGGTACCAGGGAGATGGGGTGGGTACCAGGGAGATGGGATGGGTACCAGGGAGATGGGATGGGTACCAGGGAGATGGGGTGGGTACCAGGGAGACGGGATGGGTACCAGGGAGATGGGATGGGTACCAGGGAGATGGGGTGGGCACCAGGGAGATGGGATGGGTACCAGGGAGATGGGGTGGGTACCAGGGAGATGGGATGGGTACCAGGGAGATGGGATGGGTACCAGGGAGATGGGGTGGGTACCAGGGAGATGGGATGGGTACCAGGGAGATGGGGTGGGTACCAGGGAGATGGGATGGGTACCAGGGAGATGGGGTGGGTACCAGGGAGATGGGGTGGGTACCAGGGAGATGGGATGGTACCAGGGAGATGGGATGGGTACCAGGGAGATGGGATGGGTACCAGGGAGACGGGGTGGGTACCAGGGAGACGGGGTGGGTACCAGGGAGATGGGATGGGTACCAGGGAGATGGGGTGGGTACCAGGGAGACGGGATGGGTACCAGGGAGATGGGGTGGGTACCAGGGAGATGGGATGGTACCAGGGAGATGGGGTGGGTACCAGGGAGATGGGATGGGTACCAGGGAGACGGGGTGGGTACCAGGGAGATGGGATGGGTACCAGGGAGATGGGGTGGGTACCAGGGAGATGGGATGGGTACCAGGGAGATGGGGTGGGTACCAGGGAGATGGGGTGGGTACCAGGGAGATGGGATGGTACCAGGGAGATGGGATGGGTACCAGGGAGATGGGGTGGGTACCAGGGAGATGGGATGGGTACCAGGGAGATGGGATGGGTACCAGGGAGATGGGGTGGGTACCAGGGAGATGGGATGGGTACCAGGGAGATGGGGTGGGTACCAGGGAGACGGGATGGGTACCAGGGAGATGGGGTGGGTACCAGGGAGACGGGGTGGGTACCAGGGAGATGGGATGGGTACCAGGGAGATGGGGTGGGTACCAGGGAGATGGGATGGGTACCAGGGAGATGGGGTGGGTACCAGGGAGACGGGGTGGGTACCAGGGATATGGGATGGGTACCAGGGAGATGGGATGGGTAACAGGGAGATGGGATGGGTACCAGGGAGATGGGGTGGGTACCAGGGAGATGGGATGGGTACCAGGGAGATGGGGTGGGTACCAGGGAGATGGGATGGGTACCAGGGAGATGGGGTGGGTACCAGGGAGATGGGATGGGTACCAGGGAGATGGGGTGGGTACCAGGGAGACGGGGTGGGTACCAGGGATATGGGATGGGTACCAGGGAGATGGGATGGGTAACAGGGAGATGGGATGGGTACCAGGGAGATGGGGTGGGTACCAGGGAGATGGGATGGGTACCAGGGAGATGGGGTGGGTACCAGGGAGATGGGATGGGTACCAGGGAGATGGGATGGGTACCAGGGAGATGGGATGGGTACCAGGGAGATGGGATGGGTACCAGGGAGATGGGATTGATACCAGGGAGACGGGGTGGGTACCAGGGATATGGGATGGGTACCAGGGAGATGGGATGGGTACCAGGGAGATGGGATGGGTACCAGGGAGATGGGATGGGTACCAGGGAGATGGGATGGGTACCAGGGAGATGGGGTGGGTACCAGGGAGATGGGGTGGGTACCAGGGAGATGGGATGGGTACCAGGGAGACGGGGTGGGTACCAGGGAGATGGGGTGGGTACCAGGGAGATGGGGTGGGTACCAGGGAGATGGGGTGGGTACCAGGGAGATGGGGTGGGTACCAGGGAGATGGGGTATCTGGTGCGGCAGCTCTGCTGGGCGTCGTCGTCTGGGCGCACAGACAGCACCATGCCCTCCTGCAGGTTGTCACAGTCTATGCCCTGCCGGGGAGAGGGGGAGAGAGAGAGGGAGACACGAGAGCATGAGGTGGTGGGGGATTGATGACGCATAACAAGAGACCAACAGACGGAGGAGAGGAACCAGACGCACACATCAGCAGGGGCAGCAGCAGGGGCAGCAGCAGGGGCAGCAGCAGGCGGCGGCAGCAGCACTCACGGCGTTCTGCTGCAGGAAGCTGTCCTGGGAGAGGCCGAAGAAGACGTAGATGTCATAGCATGTCTCGCCGCCCACCACCTGGTACGTGCTGCTCTTGCCCGCCATGCCTGCACGGAGAAAGATGCGGGGAAGAGTGAGGGAGAGAGGGCGGGGGTGAGAGGGTTAGGGAGGGGCTGACCAGGATGATGGGTGGGAAAGGTTCGAGGGGCTGGAAACAGTAGTGGTATTAGCAGTAGTGGATCGAAGAGTAGGCTGTAGGCTTTGCTGCTGCGCTGCAGTGTGATGCGGTGTGGTGTGGACCGTGTGGTGTGGTGTGGTGCAGTGTGGTGTGGTGTGGTGTGGTGTGGTGCAGTGTGGTGTGGCATCTCGATCATGCACGCAGATATTGCTAGCGGCAAGCAAACTGGATAACGCTGCTGGCCAATGCAACACAGATGCTGCAACTTGCAGCTTGGCGGGCACACACGCACAGCTGCAAGACTCAACAAAATCCCCTCCTTCACCATCTTTCTTAACCCCACCCCCCCCTCCCCCTCATCTACGCACCCCTGTCTGCTAGCCCTGTTGTAACCCCTTCACTTGCAAGTGAATGACGCAGGCTCAACAAACACTCGCGTCAGCACATGGAAGGAACCAACCAGCAGGCGCAATGCATCTACCTGGCACAGCACGCAATGCTTCTTCTGAGTCGACTCTTCTTTAAGCCAAGGAGAGAGCAAAGGCAGGGTTTGAAATTCGAGAGACTCACGAGGCACGCAGGTGGGGGCGCCGGAGCTGAGGGTGCTGCGCATGTAGTTGGGCGGACACACACACGTGTACCCTCCCTCACCGTCGTTCACACACGCACCACCCCCACACGGGTTGCTCGTGAACGCTGCACATGCGTCCTCTGAAGGGGGTGGGGGCGCAGGGGAGGGCGGAGGAAAGCGGAGGGGAGGGCGGAGGGGAGGGCAAGCGGAGGGATGCCGGTTAGGAATGGCGAGAAGAAGGGGGGATAGGATTCCTGGTGTGTGCAGGAGGAGCAAGCGAGGGAGTGAAAGAGGTGACCATCGTAGCTTGACATCAAGAAGTGTGGAGTTGATGCTGACTCCTCACAGACAATCATGTATCAAACAACTGTTTTCCCTCACCACACTGCTCGTCTTCCTACCTCTCCCATACTCTCCCCGACCCCTCTCGCTCCCCCACCCTCCGCCACGCACCCATAACGCAAGCCTGACTGCCATCCTTGCTAATAGCCAGGCTGAGACCCGGCCCACAGAAGCAATTGTACCCTCCGTACGACGGCGGGGGAGGGGGGGAGGGCGGGCACGCCATGCTGTCAGGCGGGGTGCTGATCGAGGGAGGCGGGGATGGAGGCGGGGGAGTTGGCGCGATATAGTATGTCGCGTATGGGTTCACGAGCTTTAGGAGAGGACCGGGAGGTTGCTGGTTGGAGGAGAGCGAGGATGAAGAGGTGGAGGAGGAGACAGAGGAGGAGGAGGCGGAGGTAGCGGAGGAGGAGGAAGAAGGCCATGAAGGGGCAGAGGGCAGCAGAGAAGAGCCCGGCTTTACAAGAGCAGAGTTCTTCTTAGTGCCTTTAGTGGTGGCAGCAGCAGGTGCCTTGGAGCGTGCAGCAGCAGTAGCAGCTGCCCCTCTCATCTTCTCAAACGCCTTGCTGCTCTTCACAGCAGCGAAGATAGCACGAGCTGCAGCCATCAACGACCTGCTGCTGCTGCTGCTGCTGCTGCTGCTGCTGTCCATCCCCAACGCGGCCGATTTGATGCTGCTCTCTATCACGGCTGCACTGCTGCTGGACCCACCACTACTACTGCCTGTCACGACAGCCTCATTGCCTGCTTTCTTCGGGCTTGCTCGTGTCGTGCCTTTCTTGCTCGCTCCCTTGTGCCACTGCTGCTTCTGCCGCCGCTGCTGCTGCTGCTGCTGCAGGTGCTGCTGGTGGTGCTGCTGGTGGTGCTGCTGGCCTCTACCAGGATTGCTGTCGCTGGAAACCAGCTGCCGCCTGCTGTCCCCCGGCCCCTCTCGCGCCACCCGCTGCAACCGCGAGCGAGCAATCTCCAGGTTGGAACGACGGAGACGGCGAGAGGGGACAGAGGAGGGGGGGTAAGAGGAGGAGGAAGAGGAGTATGTGGTGGTGGTGGTGGGGATGGGGGTGGATGTGCCATGGGCGAGGATGCGAGTGGTTCTACAAGCGCCCCCTCCGCATGATGTGCACGGGTTAGCCTGCTTCTGGGCTGCACAATTGGGAGAGACGCAGGGGGGCGGGAAGGGTTTGGAGAGGGGAAAAGTGAAGGCGAGATGGGTACATACACGGATCACGTTTCGAGTCGTCTCAGAAGAGCAAGCGGCCTGGAATACCGCAGTAAGACCGCAACAAGACTGCGCACGCAACAGGACTGCAACAAGACTGCCCACGCAGCACTTACGGTCCAGCACGGGGTAGACCCCCAGGTTGTACGTCATGCCGCAGATGCCTCCGTACTGCGCGCTGCTGACGGCCACGCGCATGTACCCGTCCTCGCCCCACCCAGGCCCCCAGCTGTTGCGCAGCACGAAATGGTTGTCGCTCGCGCCTGGCGCCGTGAAGCGGTACCCCACCACCAGCACCGCGTGGTCCAGCACGGGCCTTGCAGGGTCGAAGCACGTCTCGTCCGCATACAGCCCGCCCTGGGGGGGGGGAGGCGGGGGGAGGGGGCGCTTCTTTCAGTTGACTCAAAGGGCGCCGTGAAGCGGTACCCCACCACCAGCACTGCGTCGTCCAGCACGGGGCTTGCAGGGTCGAAGCACGTCTCGTCCGCATACAGCCCGCCCTGGAGAGCGGGGGAGGGGTAGGGATGGGTGGGGAGGGTTGGGGAGGGTTGACTCAAGAGGTGCTGTGAAGCAGTACCCCACCATGAGAACTGCGTGGTCTAGTACTGGGCTTGCTGGGTTGAAGCATGACTCGTCCACGTACAGCCCACCCTGGGGGGGAAGGGAAGGGTGGGGATCGGCGGGGAGGGGTGAGGAGGGATCGCGAGAGGAGGGGAGGGGAGGACAGGACAAGCGGAGGGACGGGGGAGGAGCAAGGGACGAGGGGAGGGTGGGTGTGAGAAGGAAGCCTTTGCGGGGTAGGCTGGAGAGAGAATGCACCATGGACAGCCAGGATCAGATTCAAGACCAGAACGAGGATTTTGGAGCGTTGAATTCAGAAAAATACTATGTCTCTCACACCGCCTACCACGGCATTCCCCGTCCCCGCCTCGGCTCTGCGCCCTCGCAACCGACCCGATCCCCCCTACCATCCGGACTGCGCACCCGACCAGCTCTCTCTCTCACCGTGTATGTGGCGAACGAGGGGTGCGAGCCGTGCAGCGTGACTATAACGGGCTGCTTCTGCACGGCGAGAATGAGCCCCAGCGCGCCGGGCAGCGGCACCTGCTCGTACAGCTGGATGCGCAGCGCTGATGGCACCGTGCTCGTGTTGAGCGGCTGCGGAGGGGGAGGGGGGAAGTGACGGAGGAGGCGGGGAATGCGGTGGCGGGAGGCAGGGGAAGGGAAAGGGGAAGGGAAAAAGGGCGGACGCTTGGCGATGTTTGTTGAGCGTTGAGGGGCGTGTGGCAAAGCACCCCACTGCACTGCAGAGTACCGCACAGGACAGTGCAGTACAAGAGTAGAGCATGGCATAGCTGGCAGCGAATGCAGAGTGGTGCCACGGTAACGACATTGGAAAGGTGCCGTGATGGCAACGTCAAGTCGATGCGATGCATATGGTGGCACCATATGGTGAGAGGCACCCACCCACCCACCCACCCCTAACATGGCAACCTCCTTCTCGAACCCCTCCAAACCCCCACCCCGCACCCACCCTTACCACATTCGTAATGGGGACCTGCGTCCCCACGTGCTGCTGCACGCCCGTCGCATTGCACGTCGCCTTCGTCGCACGGTACGCGTACGACGTCGCATAGGCCACGGCGTTCGCCGTCGCGTACTGCAGTGCGTCCTCGGGGTACCCGCCCAGGCACGACCCCACGGCGCAGTCCACCAGCTGCTGCGACGACAGCGACGAGTTCGGCGGCAGTTGCGACGACAGCGCGTAGTACGCGCCTTCCACGGCGCCCGCTGCGGCGAACGCCCAGCACGCGCCTGCGCGGGGGGGCGGAGAAAGGGGGAAGAAGGGGTTGGGGAGGTGGCGGGAGGCGCATAGGTCGGGGGAAGGGGTTAGAAGGAGATGGTGGGTGCGGGCGTGAGCGGCAGCGGCGTGCGCAGTTGCGCGCGAAGAAATATTACGCGAACATCGTTTACTATTCTCATTTCACAACTCACAAGCCACAATCTCTGCTCTCTGCCCCTTCCCCTCTTCCACTCTTGCAACTCTCTTCGCAACTCACTGCATTGGCCTTGGTCGCCGACAGGACCGAATTTCGCCACGAAAGACGCGACCGGGGGGAACTCCCACACGGGCTTGCCCGTATCAGGCGAAAACGACAGCCCCAGCGACAGGTACCGCGACACGGGGTTGAACGCGGGTTGCGCCGACATTAGGTGCGCGCGGGGCGGGGGAAGGCCGAGAGTGCGCCCGTCTGCGCAAGGGTGCGAAGAACGGGGGCCAGGGGGGATGGGGGAAAGCGGAAGGCTTGGAAGATGGGTAGGCGTGGGGAGAATGGGAAGAAGAGGAGAACTGGAAAAGCGAGAGAAAGGCGTATTACGGAGGCCCGCACGTCACGCACACTACACACGCACGATCCTGTCCCTGTCGCTTACAGGGCATGCGCGGCTGACGGTACGCGGAGGCGTCCGGTACGCGGGAATGTCGGCGCAGCCACCACTGCACGAGACCCAGCGCGGTCAGTCGGCGGAGCGAGCGGGGGAAGAAAGATGCGGACGCGGAACTTTTAAGAGAAGCGGAGCTGTCGGTGGTGGGATCTGTCATTGGGGGATAACAGGGGCGGGAAATTTTGCGGAGAGGCGGAACTGAAAAAGCTGTGGCCTTTCAGAAGGGGCGACTTTCAGACTTGAATGAGAATGATAGTACAAGCTGCTGCATTGATGGATAGCGAGAGCGTTGAGAAATCAAAGGGGGCTATGGTTGAGGAGCAAGCGGATCACTGGCCGCTATTGGAAGGAACTGGGCTGAAAAGTCTGAGTGTCAACGGAAACGAGTGCGAATGCGCCGCGTTTGCGTGTACGTGTGCGTGTGCGTGCGGCGCGCGTACCTTCTTCACGGCGGGTCGCGAAAGACTGCGGCGCGTGCGACTGAGCGTGTGGCGCTAGCGCGAGGAGGAGGCATAGTAGCACAACCGACATGGTGGCGATGGAATACATATGTCCAAAGGGGACTCGGCGATATGCGGCACGGACGTCGCGGACTACATAATGCGGCGCCTGCAGACGGGCCGCTCTGTTCTCCGCACTCATGGTGCCTGAGTGTGGCTACAAGAAAAAGGGTATCTAAAAACCAGCGGCTGTCCTTATTACCCCTCTCGTAGCTCTCAGCGGGAGAGGGAGAGGCAACTTGGGAGTGGAAGGCGGTACCGCGGCTCTCTTGGAGGGAGAGATTGAAAGAGTTTTACGATTAAGGAGCTCCTACATTAAGGCTTGATGACAAATCACCATGATGCTAGATCAGGGTGGCGCTAAGTGGCAGGCGGGGGATAGCGCGCTTCCGAGTCTGTGTCGCCGACCCAACGGTGGGCGACAGGATCGTCGTACGCAGGTGCTGGTCGGAAATGCGCTAGTTAGAACGTTGTTCCCAAATCTGGTCATGGCATCCGATCGTCTTCCGTCCTTAGTTCCTTTCAGAGTTCCAGTAAGGGCCTTTAGGTGCTGCTAAGTACGACTTGAAGTTGTGGAGATTGTAGGGGTTGCGGAGGAGGAGCATTCGAACCTCGGCTGGAGGCATTTCCTACATGTGACGCAAACTCGTGCAAGCGAGGAAGCTGCGAGCCCTCAGTACACAGTGATCTCCAGCACTCCCGGCGTTTCAAAGGCGGCATGACTATTTACGAAGCGCCAAAGGCACAATGACAGCCAGTTGGGTGAAATGAAAGCTGCGGCTGTTCTCCCGCCGTGCCGAAAAGTAGCTGTTGTTGACAGATGGGTTGTGTTGTGTGGGTGGGTGAGGCGAGGGGAGGAGGTGAGGCAAGGTGACATTCGAGTGCGTCGTCGTTTCGATGGCTGCAGACAAAGCAGACAGAACCGATGGCTTGCTGCGGTGTGTCAGGTCAGAAGGATGTGCGATGCGCGACGCGACCCAACAATCAATTTCAGCAATCCCCTTCCAAAATGGATTCCCGCTCGAATCCCATGGGCTTATTTGAACATGTTAGGACGCAGAAAATACATTTATTTAAAGCCCAAGACCTGAATTACTCAACGGAAGTCAATGCTAAAAACTAGGTTCGGGAGGCAGGCACGGAGAGGTTCGGTTGGGTTGCGAGAGACTTTCACTCGCGAAACCAATTTGCGACAAAAGTTTCTCGCTTCCCATGATGGGTGGGTGTTACGAGTGCAATTGAGTGAACGAACGAGAATTGCACTATCGAAGCAAGAATACAAATGAGCGAAGGCATGAGCGAACATTATATAGCGAAACTACAGTGGTAACGGTAATGGTCGCGCGACGAGCCTGGGACTGAGGTTGGGAAAATGTCGAAGCGTAGGTCCGGAGCGCGGGTTACCAGCCGAGCCGTGAGGTCGGGATGCGATGTGCGAAAAGGGCGGGATGATGAATGATGCGATGGTCGCGAGTGGTAACGGTGCTGACTGAGGTGCTACAGTGATGTACGCGTTGAGCAGGGACGCGAAGTAAGGAAAAGGGAATTTCCTTACACTACCCCCCCTCCTAAGGAGGTCCTCCTTATGACGTGGATGTCTCGGAAATTGCGGCTACGCAGGTAGTCGGTGACGACGGGGTGATTTTCAACGTTCTCCAGGGGAACCCAATTGTCCTCGGTGGGGGTACGATCTTTCCAGCGGATCAGAAACTCCACTTTTCGGGCTCCTCGAGGGTCGCGAACTCTGTGGCTCAGGATCTTGTCGGGGGTGATGACTGGTTCGGTTGGTGGTCGTGTCATGCTGGTGGGTCGATGTCGTGGGAGTTGGCTGGTGGATGGCACGTAAGGGCGAAGTAAGCTGACGTGGAACGAGGGGCTGACGTACCAGTCAGCAGGGAGGAGGAGGTGCGGGGTGACTGGCGTGACCATGTGACTGATTCGAAATGGCCCACAGTATCGAGGGCGGAGTTTTGGAGTGATGGGCAGGCGGAGGTTTTGAGTGTCGAGTAAAACGAGGTCGTCGGGCTGATAAGTAACGGGTCTGCGATGGCGATCGGCGTTGCGTTTAGCGATGATGTTTGATTTTTTGATTGCTTCTGCTGCCCTGGTCCGTGCTGCTTGCAGAATCTCGGCGAACTGTTGTGCTCGTGGGACGGGGTTGTCGGGATTCGGTGTCATGGGTACTGTTGGGTCCTGTCCGTAATTCAAGTAAAACGGCGACTGTTGCGTCGTGGCTGATGGTGCGTTATTGTATGCGAACTCGATGAGTGGCAGCTGCTGTTCCCACGTATTCGGATCGTCGCACGTGGCTCGAATCAGCTGCTCCATGGTCTGATTTGTCCGTTCCGTCTGTCCGTCGGTTTCGGGGTGATAGGATGAACTGAACCGTAAGCGCGTGCCGAACTGCTGCCACAGGTTCCGCCAGAAGTTGCTTGTAAATTTCGTGTCTCTGTCGCTGATGATCGATGCGGGTATCCCGTGCAGTCGAACGACGGTGGTGATGAAGAGTCGGGCGGTTTCCTCGGCTGTGATTGATTTCCTGCATGCTGCGAAATGAGCCATCTTCGTTAGTCGATCGACGACGACCAGGATCGCGTCATTCCCACTCGCCCCAGCTGGTAACCCCGTGACGAAATCCATCGTCACCTGCTGCCAAGCACGCTCTGGGGGCGGGATGGGTTGTAATTGTCCCGCCGGCCGCTTCCTGCTTGACTTCATGAGCTGGCAAGTGGGGCACGATGCCACGTGTCGTTGCACATCGGTCAACATTTCTGGCCAGTAGTAGTACCGCTGCAGCTGCTGCCGTGTTTTTTCTACCCCGAAATGTCCCGAGGTAACTCCGTCGTGTGCTTCCTGTAACAGTAGTTCCCGCAGTAGCGTGTATCCTGGTACCCAGATGCGGTCGGTTCCAGCTTTTACGTAATAGACTCCTTTTGCCGCTGCGAATTGCTGTGAGTTGCCTCCTGTAAAGAACGGGTCTGTTTGATATCCGTGGGTAAATAGGCCTGTCAGTAGCGGGCTGGTCTGGGCGAGTAGTATCGCGTGGATCTGGGCAGTGGGGCGGGTCAGTGCGTCGGCGATATTCGAGGCTCCTTTTTTGTATGTGACCGTATAGTGAAAATTCGACTCGAGGAAATCGAGCCATCGAATCTGTCGTGGGTTGAGGTGGGGCTGTGCGCGGAGGTACTGTAGAGATCGATGGTCTGTCCGTACTGTCACGTCTGCGCCGGTCAAGTAGCAGCGCCACACTTTGAATGCGTGCACGATCGCGAGCATTTCGCGGTCGTGTATCGGGTAATTTCGCTCAGGCGGATGTAGTTTGCGTGATTCGTAGGCGATGGGTTGGAGGCCGTCGCCGAAGTCCTGTAACAGTACAGCTCCGATGGCGATGTCACTTGCGTCGGTAACCACTTTGAAAGGGCGGTGGGGATCAGCGATGCGTAGAACGGGTGGTGAACAGAGAACGTTTTTCAGGGCAGAGAAGGCAGCATGCTCTTTCTCCCCCCACGTAAAAGCGACCCCCTTACGCAATAAATCAGTGAGTGGGGCTGTTAAACGTGCCATGTCGGGCACGAACCGTCGAACGTAATTAACAAAACCTAAAAAACTCTGCAGTTCCGTGATGTTCATCGGGGGGCGCCACGCTTTTACCGTATCCAGCTTCTTTGGGTCAATCTCAACCCCAGCCTCCGAAATGACGTGACCCAAAAACTCTAGCCTGTCCCGAAAAAACTCGCACTTGGAGCCCTTGGTGAGTGGCCGATGTTCCTCCAAAATCTTAAAAACTGCTTCAAGATCCACTAAGTGCTGCTGCTTATCCCGGCTGTAAACTAGAATATCGTCCAGGTAAACTATCACGCATTTATCTAAAAGTGGTCTAAACGCCTCGTTCATGGTCATCTGAAATGTCGCAGGCGCGTTCGTCAGCCCGAATGGCATTACTGTATACTCGAATGACCCGTACCTAGTCCTAAATGCTGTTTTGGCGCAGTCCGATGGTTCGACCCGAATCTGATGGTAACCTCCCCGTAAATCTATTTTCGAAAAGACTCGTGCTGTTCGCAGTTGGTCGATCAGTTCGTCGGCGCGGGGGATGGGGTATCGCGATTTGACTGTTACCCTGTTAAGTGCTCGGTAGTCGATGCACATGCGGAACCCTCCGTCTTTTTTCGGTGTGAACAGTATCGGTGCGGCGAACGGTGACGAGCTCGGTCGGATAAACTGCTTCTCTAACAGGTAATCTAACTGCTTCCTTAACTCGTCGAGCTCGGGCTGTGTCAGTCGAAATTGCCGCTGTACAGTTGGCTGTGCCCCCGGTTCTAACTCGATCCTATGGTCGTGCGCCCGCTGAGGTGGCAGTCCCTGTGGTAAATCATCCGGAAATATCCCCGGGAACTGTTTCAGTAGTGCCTGTAGTTCGGACGGTACAGTTGCCAGCAGTTTCTCCAAATCACTCGGCTGCTCATCTTTTTCTACGAGTGCGATATCCACTGCGTACACGTCAGCTCCAGCAGCGACAGCCCGTTTCATCGTGATGGCGTTGACCTGGACCGTCGAAGATTTGGGTGGCTGCCAGCGAGGTAGAACGACCCAGTTACCACTACTTCGCACTGTGCAGCTCCCCATCGTCCAGTCGATCCGTGGGTTGTACCGTCGC